CTCGAGTGTGCCTGGCAGACTGTGGGTGTTCATGCCTTTTGGTGTTTGTTTTAGGGGTTTAGGGTTTAGGGTTCAGGGGTTTAGGGTTTAGGGTTTAGGGTTTAGGGTTTAGGGTTTAGGTTCGCTGTACCTCTTTGATGTCTTAGGGTTCTGGCCCATCAAGAAGACCACATACAGAACACCCAGGCGAATCTTCAGCATGTCATATGCACAGAGCTCCGCATCGAGTGTGTCAGATGCACTAAAGTCCGAGTCATGGTTCCACATAGACTCTGGACTTGCCGTGCTGCTCCCAAAGACGACTCTCCCGCTGCAGTCAATGCTGCCCGAACTGCGGTCTTTGCCCAGCTTAATGTAGGGGCCTTAATAATNNGTTTTGGGGCCCAATATACTACAATTATAATAAGGAACCCCCAAAATATAGGAGGTATTTATTAAGGCCCCTACAGCAACGTCTTGGAGGATCCACCAGAATGCGCTTGAAAGCGTGTGCCGGCGGGTCATTGAATCCGAGACCGGGAGCCAGAACTTCCCGATCCGTGCCCTGTGCTTGTTGAGGGTTTAGGGTTTAGGGTTTAGGGTTTAGGGAGGGTTTGCGCAGGGGTGTAGATAACCCTAAACCCTAGACCACTCTGGGACCATATAGTCAAAGGATCAAGGTGACTTATTGGATCTTGAATCAGCATTTATAGGATTGCAATTTTCAAGGGCCTCCATGAACAGACTAGGATTTTGGGATATACTATTATGCTAGAAGTACAGTAGGAACCCTAAGACGAGCATGAACTTCAAGCTGTAACCGTCCCCAAGCGGCTCGTGACCAAGATACCGGCAAGAAGTGATGAGGTGCGTTTTAGGGTTTAGGGCTTGCTCAAGTCATATGACAAGTCCTGATCAGGAGAGAGCTGTCCTAGTTAGGATAACCGAGCTGTTGACCGACACGTCACCAACCCCTTCCATAATCCACAACACTAAACCCTGCACACAGTTGCAACCAGCTGCCAAATTTATGAAGCTTGGACGATTCGGGAGTAGCTCATCTGCATCGACATAAACCTTGAACCCTACGCCCTAGAGCAAACTCTCGCGCTGAAAAAAAACAGTTCTGCTCTCCTGTAGCCAAGGAGCCAAGTTGTCGCCGCCTGACTCATGTGCTGACGACTCATGAAGGGATGGCTAAGGGGTTCTACAGTCATGGATCCTGTCAGGCAGTGTCATCATGCTGAGAAGATTTTTCAAGAGCTTTTGACGGTTTTGAAGGGGACGATACTAGAAAAGTTCTCCTGCTTGGAATCCCACTCAGAATCCACTTATACCATCCGACGCTGCTCTACGACACGAGCGGCACTTCTCAGCACCGCTACCCTTAGCCTCCAAGTCAAGCACACTAGTAACTCCGGAGTCGATAATGCAGAAGCCTTAATAATTAGAATAGGTTTGGGGTTGTTGATACTATAGATGTAATACGGAAAACCCAAAAGAGTATCGGTAATTATTCTGGCCTCCGGCGCTTCATCAGCATCAGCACCAGCTTCGAACAGCTGGAACTTCCAAAATCAAATCTCTTCGGGAGAGACTCGCTTGGATCATACTTACCAACATCCTCCATGGCAAAGTGCCCCTCAGTATGAGCTGAGAAACGGCAATGCCGAGGTCCCAGAGCAGCTCGAGAGCCAATGTAGAAGAGCTGAAAGGATCACTTTTGAACAAGTCAAGATGCCGGCTCAAAGCATGGACAAAAGAGAAGCTCTTATTTCCGGAACGCCACGGCATATGAGATTGGTCCATGGTGGAAACCATGACTCAACATGCTTCACAGAAGCGCACGTGCCAGGCATTTTGCAAAGGCCGTGCAAAAGGCTGTGGGGTATGCAGTCTTTGCGGTGCGCCATCCAGCGCTCTTGCCTGCGAAGCCTGATAGGCCTGCTAACAATAGGTTCGGCTGTTTGGGAGCAAGCCCCAAGCCACTAGGGTTCAGGGTTTAGGGCTATCTGCCAGCTCCAGAAATAGAAGACCCCAACAATTGACCCCAAAGTGTAGGACTTCTGACAAAGAAAAGGCCCTCCCAAGAGCCACCCAACTTTCAAGAACCAGCTACCAAACCCTGCCAGATCCGATCCAAAAGCGTTAAATCTAAAGCAAGCCTGCGTTAGAGTTCTTATGTTACAACTTGAGTGTATGCAGGATTGGTGTTGGCTTTGACTGGTCTTCTGGGGGGGGTTGATCAGGTTTTCTATGCAGGAAGCCTTAAACCCAAATCCTTAACTCCATATGAAAAGAAGTCTCAACTCTGAAGCAACCCCCAAACGCAGGAAATCCTGAACGCTAGGTCCAAAGCCCTAGACATAAAACCCTGAAGCCTCAACCTCAAGTCGTAAACCCTACACCCTCAACTCCAAACCCAAAGCCCTAAGCCCTAAATCCCAAACCCCTAAACCCTAAATCCTGAAAGAGTGTCCAAAAAGGACACCCCCATTTCGAGTTCCCTTGGCCTCGCCTTCAAGGATCATGGGACTTAGTAACTAGGGCTATAAATACGGCAACTAGCCATACATGTGTGTGTGTATAAATAAATAAATATATATATATATATATGTATAAATACGTATTCATACCCGCATTTAAGGTACTTCGAACCCTTGTACTAAGTCCCATGATCCTCCAAGCACCCTTATAGAACCCTTATAGTACCCTTGTAGAAACCCTCTAACTTGTAGACCCCTTGAAGGACACCTTTAATGTAGCGGCCTAAAATTTACCTATATTATTGTGGGGGGGGGTTCCTTAATATACTTATGGTATTATGGCCCCCAAACCCTATTCTAATTATTAGGGCCCCTACATTAAGTTTCTCCAAGCAGTCAATTCGAGCCTGCACCGGTCACTGCTGGCGCCTGCATAAGTCAAGAGGGCTACTACAAAGGACTTTAGGGTTGGGTTTAGGGTTTAGGGTTTAGGGCTTGGGGTTTAGGGCTTAGGGTTCAGGGCTTAGGGCTCCTTTAGAGTGATTCTTTGAAGGGTTCGATATGAGGGTTGCTATGAGAGATGCTAAAAAGAGATAGGTGTCGACGATAGACTAGGCTTTGCCGGGGTAGTATAGTAAAACAACCATCGGAACTGCAAGCAATACTATTACTAGTAAATTAGACCCTATAATACATGGCTTGGTGATTGTCTTGTCCGCCTATCAGCTCGTATAGAGTGTTGTTCTATAGGTACTTGAACTGATTTACTTTCTTGAAAAAGTTGTAGGGTGTGCAGCATGCTTTACATTGTGATGGCGTGCCACGCAAGTTCGGGGCTCTGGTTGTGACGCTGTAGGTGCAGAATGGGGATTTAGGCTTGTTTTGGGGCTTCGGGATTAGGGTAAAGGGGTTTAGGGTTAGGGTTTAGGGTTTAGGGTTTAGGGTTTAGGGTTAAGGGTTTAGGGTTAAGGGTTCAGCGTTTGGGGCTTAGGATTTCAGGTTTAGGGTGCATGATCGGACTGTGTCGGCGATGGGGATCAGCTGTAAGAAGATTTGTAAGGATTCCCCAGAGACTCCACTACCCCTTGATTAAGGAATATACCCTTAAATTATAGGGGCCTGAATACTAGGATTTAAGGTATATTCCTTAATTAAGGGGTATTGGGTTCTCTGGGTAGAAATTTAGGAATGACTTAGGGTTCAAGGGAAAGCAGAGCCCAGAGATCCCTAAACCCAGAGATCCCTCAGCCCTGAACCCTGCACCCTAAAGGGTTTTGGTTTGAGGGTTGTTTGGGGTTTAGGGTTTAGGGTTTAGGGTTTATGGCCTAGGGTTTAGGGTTTGGGGTTTGGGGTTTAGGGTTTCGGGTTCAGGGAACCTGAATCCCGAGGAGTGCGACTGCTTCCTCTCGGCTACGGGCCGTGCGGGCTGCACGGACAATCTCGGTCTGGACCGAATTGGGGCTGACTTGAGCAGAAGGCTTGAGGGATTGAGGAAGCCCCGGAACGGGCTACTATCAGGATAACCCTAAACGCTAAACTGTAAACCCTAAACCCTAAACCGCTTGCCGAAGTGGTTTAGGACTTGGGGCTAAGGGTCTTAGGATTGGGGATTTGGGTTTCAGGGCGAGGGCTTTAAGAACAGTCTTTTTGTTGGCATTGAATTTGTTTCAAGCGCAAAGGATGTTTAGGGCTTGCGTTTACTGTCTAGGCTTTAGGGTTTAGGGTTTAGGGTTTTAATCTAGGTTCCTGAGTAGTACCCTTTTGCCCTTTTTATTTTGGGGTCTCCTTATGAAAACGGAATACTAGGAAAAAGGGTACCCTTATTATTTAGGGGTCACTCAGGAACCTAGTAATAAGATAAGTTTTCGGAGGCCAGGGGCTTAAAGGGCTGGTCCTAAACAGTGAAGCTCCTGAGCCTCAATATTGGAGCCTGGTTCAGAAGCCTCGAGTTTCTATTTTTGGGTTCTTTATATGGGTAGTTCTCTAAATTAGGGTCCCTTTCAGGGTCCTTTTCCGTACTATATTGGGGATCTAAAAAGGGACCCTAGTTTAGAGAACTACCCATATGGATCCGAATATCTGGGAGTTATAGGACCCGGGTTCTGAAGCAGGTTCCTACATTAAACCCAGCAACCTTTTTAATCCCTGAATTCAGCGCTCAGCCTTGAACTAGGGCTCGGGGTGTCTTTAGTGAACCCCGTTCAGTCTTGGGACGAGGAGTAAAGGGGTCGCATACTGTTTGTAAGCTGGCTTTGCGGGTTTGGTTGAGATCCCACTTTCTAGCCTCCTTCTGGAAGGTGTTACACAGCCCAAACCCTGGACCCTAAACCCTAGACCCTATGGTGAAAGCCCAATCTTGGAATATGCAAACCCAAATTTCCTGCACAGTGTTAGGGGGGTCCAAGCGGAGGTCATTCGCGGCGGTCAAGCACATCCGCTTCTGATCGCCAACTTTGACCAGGTTTGGACCACGATCTACGAACCAGCCAGCCGCGTGGTGTGGAAGGACGACGGGGATCTGCCAAGGACTTGGATTTGGAGAATGGTCGCTTCTATCGCCGGCAGCGGTTGTCAAAGCAGCTCCACATTGACTTGGGCCTGGAGCAAGCGGCAGTCAAAGCACCTTCCAGCGAGCGCCGAAAGGTGGACGACGGGTACTCACAAGTCGGCTGCGTCGGGAACTGGCATCTCCCCCGCACCACCACAACGCTTTCATGGTGCAATGGCGACCTCGGCCGTCTCTTCACAACCATCGCAGTTGACAAAATCACGGATGCCCAGCTGGCAGCGGCGGAGGACTTGCGTGGTTACTGCGTGGTGGAGCGTGCTGGGGGTAGTACCCATATGTGGAAGGGGGAAACAACCCTGCGCTATCTGAAGTTCCTGGCTGCGGAACTGGAACCAGACTGGAAAGCCGTCGGCACAAGGCTGGAAGGACGGTGCCCTGGTCATTGCAGACGACGCCAGCGTCCACTCGAACCACAGGTTCGTGGAGCTCCGGCGCTTGTGGGAGCAGGAATGCCTCGCCGTCCAGATACTGCCTGACGAAGAGGGGCCGTAGCTCGCCCTTCACGCGGATGGCAAGCTGGTCCGGCTCCATGTCCATCCGTGCTTCCACCATTTTGCAGCCGGACCTGTGTTGCAGTCTTCATGCGCATGCTTGAGTTGCCGCAGCTTTTTGTCAAAGTCAGCAATGTATTGTTTGGTGGCACCTGTCGCACCGTATGCGGGTTCGGTGCTGCACGCGAGATACGCTTCGAAGATCTACGCTCGGTACGTGGGTTTTGGGGTTCGTGCGGGAGCCCCTTGAAGATCTACACTCGGTACGCGGTCTGGGGGTGCACGTGGGACTTTGGAAAATCTACGCGCGGTAGGCGGGTTCGGTGCTGCACGCGAGAGACACTTCGAAGATCTACACTCGGTACCGGGGTTTGGGGTTTGCGCGGGAGCCCCTTGAAGATCTACACTCGGTACGCGGGTCTGGGGGTGCACAGGAGGCCCTGAGACCCTCGAACATCAAGATGCATCTTATGGTCTGTTCTTCACCGGTCCCCTAAGGTGTGCACTTGCAGAATGTTGCAAAAGCGAACAGCAGCACGCAAGTTTTGAGATGAGTTGTTCACTTCTGGGGGAATGTGTGCGGGAGGTGTGCCCTTGCGGGAACGGCAAATGCAAGGACTGCACGCGGGTTTGGGGATGTCACGGGAGCCGCTTGAAGATCTACGCTCGGTACGCGGGCTTGGCGCTGCATGGGAGGCCCTGGGACCTTCAAGACATATCAAGATCAAGACTAAGACTAAGTACGTGCATCTCGGGGGCCGCTCTTCACCTGTCCCCGGAGTTGTGCACTTGCAGAATGTTGCAAAAACGAACAGCAGCACGCAGGTTTTCAGATGAGTTGTTCACTCCTGGGGGATGGTGTGTGGGAGGTGTGCCCTTGCGGGAACGGCAAATGCAACGACTTTGCAGCGACCCCACACGTTGCGTGTGTGCAGATGGGGGAAGCATCAAAAAACGCGACATGCAAGGACTTATGCGCATAGGAGTACATGCAACAGTCAACGTTCGGTACGTGGACTGCGGTCGGGTGGGGCTACAAAGCGAAATATAGGGAATAACTGGGACATGTCGCGATGCAATTATTGGGAGTCAAAGCAGTGTGCTGTTCCCAAGTCTCAGCTCACCAGATTTGGGACTCCCCAGCCCCAGCCGGGACCTTAGAATGAATATTTATATTGGTTTATAGTAACCTAGTATACAGAAATGCACCACTTTGGGCAGCCCGTTTTGAAATCGCGCTGGGACCCTTAAAATCGCTTCGCGGCATCAGCACGATCATGAGGCATCGCAGCGAGCACCAAGCCGCTTAAATCTAGGAGGTAACCTAGAAGCACAGAAGCAACGGTAACGGGGATGTTTGCCCCCAAGTACAGGCATCTCCAACACCTAACGTTCAAGTGCTTTCCCCCAAGTACTGGCAGCAACACTGAGCATCAGAGCCCTTTCTATAGGGTCGGGATTAGGGTGCACGACTCAACGCCGCCTAAACGAAGAAAATCAAACCCTCGCGCAATTGGTTACCCGGCGCTGCGTACCGGGGGTGGCACAGGGCCTCACGAGGCCGTGCTCACCCATTTTGACCTTTTTAATTGTTACGCGGCATTGAGTTTGTGCGAAATTTTGAATTTTGTATTTAGTTACAGCAGAGCTTCCTTCCCCTCTCAGCTTTGGAAAATCGTGGCATGGAAAATGTAGTTGACAGGGCGGAAGCCCCAGGGCCAGGGGCCTGAGAGCCTGCGGCCCCCTTCCCTGGCCCCCCCTGCTCCAAAAATAAATTCTATATAAATATTTGTATCGGGGTTAGGGAAATCTGCGGTCTACGTACAGGGGAAAATCTAGGCAAGACGCAAAATCCGCAGGGCAAATACGGCCCTGCGTGGTGGCAGAATCGTGCACCGTTTTTGTGGCATCAATGGCATGTCTCGCATCAAGAGCAAAATCTGCCAATCCCTCACCTATCGGCATCATAGAGCATCATCAGCGAGGAAACCACACCCCAAGCATCAAGAGCACTTAATTCCCCCATCCCCACCCCTCCCGCCGCCCCCGCCCTCAGCTAGACGTTGGACATGAAGAAGCACTGTAAGACCTTAAGAAAGCACTGAACTTGCAAATCCACAATAGCTTGCCAACAACTGAGAAATTTCATCGATTGTGAATGCCCAATAGCTTGCTGGAAAGTGAAACGATTTAGAACGGCGTTGGATTTGCATAGATTCCGAATCCTCCATAGCCTGCCGGAAATGAAGCGCTTTAGGAGGACGCTCCCCTTGCAAATCCCCAATAGCTTGCCAAAACTCAAAAGTTTCGTAAATCGCAAAACCCCAATAGCTTGCTGCAAAGAAAACGATACCCACTTGCAAATCTCCAATAGCTTGCCGCAACATAGAAGTTTCATACATTGCAAATCCCCAATAGCTTGCACTTGCAAATCCCCAATAGCTTGCCGCAACATAGAAGTTTCATACATTGCGAATCCCCAATAGCTTCCTGGGTTCAAAGCACAAACTACGCAGTTTCAAATATACCCGCTCCGAATCTTCCGAAGCGCAGGATCCATATTTGCCACGAAAAAGATTCTTGGAATGTGGGCCTATTTACCGGCGAGGGCCATTAACCGTATTCCAACATTCTGGCTTCCACTGTAAGCCCTCCAAAGACGAGGCACCTTGTCTTCGGCCGTCCACGCTATATGGGGACGACTACGACCAGGTGACCATCTTTGCGCCGCGAACACCACGCCGGTATAAGCCGCTGCTGCAGTGTTGGCTCCACGCGCCAGGCAAGTTCGCTTGTCCGAAGCTATGATGAGACTTTTCATGGTCTGGTTGAAGCCAAGCGAATATGACTGACGTTTCGGGGGAACGGTAGGGTGCCGCAGATCAGCAACAGAAAGCCAGTTTGTTGTCTTAACAGATAGTCCACACCAGCCCTCAGTTTCGACTGCACCTCGAATCTGTGCCGACGCGCAATCGGGCTTTGTTTAAAAAGCCTTGTTCGCAACCTCTCGTGCGCATGGCAGCCGTAAAAGATCCTAAACCCTAAACCCTTAACCCTAAACCCTAAGCCATAAGCCCTCAACCCGACACTGAAGAGTCAAAAAAAGGAGTCCTTGAGGGGCTTCTTTTCGGAAGAATAGGCGAGTCCTCCCCGTATTGCTCTCAGCCCTCAGCCCTCAGCCCTAAACCCTAAACCTTAAACCCTAAACCTTAAGCCCTAAACCCTAAACCCTAAACCCAAAGCCCTCAGCCTTAAACCCTAAACCCTAAACCTTAAACCCTAAAGCTTAAGCCCTAAACCTTAA